CAAGTTTTTCCATATATGTAACGTGCTAACAGGTACTTTGCGAACTTAGATTCCTCGCATTCGTCTATTTCGTTGTTATCAATGCATCTATACACTATGTTACTAATGGTTTCCAGCCTTCTGATCCAGAAATTATATTTCTGGTAGGGAATTTTGCTGTTAATATCTGAATGGTGCAACCGGACGTGCCATATTCAGTCAACCAGTGTTGGCTGTAAAATGCTTTTATAATTCATGTTCTCAAAAGTAATCCTGACCTGCTTTGTCGCTGCTTGGTGGGCATTTATTCATAAAAGTAAAAAACCATATTTTTTTGCACTAGACTACGCATAACTCATATCTTTTGCTTATAGGTGTTATTGAGAGAGCAAAACCGCCATCTCATCACTATATTTTATGCTTATAGCAGGACTTTTTTTCGATCTTATCAGTCTTCTAAGATTTCACGTAACATGAACTGCTTTTGGTAAATTTTTTGATATACTCAAAAAAAAAGTAACACAAGTGCATTTCTAAAAATTTTTACTTTTTTGAAAGAAACCTTATTTTTTAACGCATTTATACGTTTTTTTTTGGGCGAGGGGGGGGGGTTACAAACGACAGTGTACAGTTTCCCCTTCATTTCAGGCGGCTTCTAAAACTTGTATATTTTTACCACATTTTTTGAGTAGTATAGAAATTCAGCCAGTCATTTGGGCATTGCGTTAAAATTTCAGCGAGAGCTCAGCTGCTTGATCACTCTCCTAACCTGAGTTCATTTAGGATAACAGCGAGAAATTTTCAGTTTTCTGATCGACTTTAATTTTAATTTAAACGTTCATAAGTTGTTACTGTTGCTGTAATAATGGTCGGTCTATATAAAATCACCTTGTGTAAGCATACAAAGAAAGCATATAAAGGACACAAAAAGAAAAAAATTGTTGCAATTACTTTTGTTATTCATTTGTAATCGCTTGTTGTAATGCGCAGATTCATTCTGCTTGACATTTTTTGATTAGATTTTCTAAATGGCCTAAAATTCTTTGTGTTTTGCTTTTTGTGTAATGAAGAAATGCGAACAGGCTTTTTCAGAATGTTTTTTCGTAAGCATTTTGAGAAAATTGTTGATCCACAATACCTGTTTTGGTTAGATGTCATGTTTCAGCGAGAGTGTCTGACAACTTTTGGCACATCAAACATTATGTAGTTCTTTTATGTGTGTAGAGTAATAAATTAGTTAAGGAGTTTTCTAGGCCTGATGAATTTTATTTTAGGTTTTGAGTAATGATAATGGGAGCTTTGGACGAACAGCAATTGATGTTCTTAGGTCAACCAAGTAGTAGTCGGTGGGTGAACGATAATTTTGTCATTGGTGATCCTCTTGGATCGGGTAAGTGGAAATATTTATACATTTCAAGAATTTCAAGAA